TTTTATAGATTGTGCTAGTGTTGTGCTATTACAAAAATACTGAGAACATTCATCAAGCTATATGTAACCAACAATTCTATATTCTTTAACTCTAAAATTCAAAAGATCGATTATATCTTAATTCTAAAAAAAAAAAACAACATGATTAAAAACATAACAAAAGAAACTAGTGTTCATATATCTAAACGTGGATATAAATCAATGATTCGACATGTAAAAGATTTTGTTCGTTTTGCAGTCGTCATTGGTGATAACAACAAAGATTGAATCATGTTTGTTTTGCAGTCTCAACGATAATATTTGATTGTAATTATGTCGATAGATTTACAATGATTCAATTATATTTATTTTCTAGTCATTAGCGTTATTTTGTATTTGGTGGTAATAATAACAACGATTAAAAACCAAGTGGTTCACACTTGATGAATGAATTGTTCTATGAGCTTAGACAATAGCTCAATTTTTTTTATGTGTAAAATTACCTAGCCACTTCCATTTAACCAATCGAAATAGTGTCACGCTTTAGGCTATACTCACTTTGAGAAATTAGTCGAGTGGTAAAAATCCGGATCACCTTAAAATACAACAACGATTAAATTATGTTCGTTCTACAGTTATTAAAGACAATAATTGATTGTAATTATGTCGATAAATTACAACAATTAAATTGTATTTATTTGGTAGTTATTAACAAAAACGACATATTTTAGCAGCTGCATGTTGCTAAATCAAAATTTTAAAACACTAATGAAGCTTTCAGCAACTTACCATTTTAATACTAAGATATGTCGTTGAATCAACGACTATGAAACGAACCAGATTTTTTTTAAAATAATTATGCAATTTACAAACGTTTTAAAATATAAATCTAATCAAACATAAAATTAAAAGCTTAAGTACGCAAACCACAAGCCCACAACTATATTTTTAGTAATTGAACTTCACTCAAGATTCGAATACTTCTAAATGCTATAAGTCTTTAACTCGTACACACTCACCAAGTTCATAAACAATCCATTATCCACGTCCAAATAAACTCATCTTGAATATTTGATTCGTGGTTAAGATTTTAGGAATTGGTCTAATCATGTATTGTTCAGTGTTGGTCCAGATCGGTTTTCGGGCTTTGGCCGTCTCAAACCTTCGCTCTAATTGCTTCCGGTTATGCATACAAATATACAAACCCCACAAAGGAAAAAAAAACTTACAAATCGACAAATTTCTTTTTACAAGTTTAATCGTTTGGTTGGAGTAAAATAAAAGCAAGCAAAAAGAAATCTTGCGAATTTTGCTTTCGTACTACTTCTAACCTTTTACAATTATTTTCTCTGACACAAAATCCATTCACGACGACGACAAAATATATATTTTTTTTTAAATTTCTTTAATTGACAAAATAAAATCTCTATACTGACCAAAAATTGATAAAGCTCTGATGAAATTTCTTTAATTGACAAAAATTCATCGTTATTAAAAACAAGGCCCAAAAAAGTCAGATTCTAAAGGCCCAAATCTATTGCATGTCTGCCACGTGGACACATTGTACGGTAAACTCGTATCTAGCAAAGCTGTTTGCCTTGGAGACAAAAACGTTTCCTAAAGCGGTTCGATTACGAAAATTCACGCAGCCACGTGATGTCATTTAGATCTCTTACCATCCAACGGTTTCAATCTTGCCACGTGTATGACTAACCACCCCTCTCTAAATCGAATATTTATGACTCCTCCCTTTAATCTTTTACTAATCATCGAATAAATTCGTATGTTGATTATAACATGTTGACTCAAAAAAAGCATATACTACTAATTTCGGATAACTTGTAGCGAACAAATTAGTGGACAAAATGAAAGAGAGAGTATTAAATAACAATTTCTTTATAAAAGCTGTAAAATTCCAAATATGAAATGCCATTCAATTGAATATTGCTATAATTAGTACTCAAAATATTAAATAATAAGATTTTCCAAATTGTACAATAGATATCGAACATACAAGTTGTACCAAATCCCACTCTTTCTCACTCTAGAAACCAAAAAATCACAAATGTTGTTCATAATAATATCTTACACTTTTTTGTTTCTCTCTCTAAAAACTAAAACCAGTGACTAATCCTTCCGGCGAGAGAGAGATGCTATCTCCGACCTTGTTTCCTATCTTCTGCGCTTTATTTCTCTGTTTACCAGTCGCCGTTATCTTCACAGTTCAGAGAGAACTAACCGGCGTTGTTTCGCCGGAATTTGGTTTCCGTTCTCTCTCAGTCTTCTCTCTCTATTCTCGTAATGTCCCTGAAGCATCTTCTCCGGCGATTCCGATTCGACCTCCGATTCCTAAAGAAGACGAGCCGCTTCTCCGACTAGCTTCTCGGGTTAACCCGAATCAACCTCCCGGATCGACCCGGAAATTAGCTTTTATGTATCTAACAACTACGCCTCTTCCTTTTGCGTCTCTATGGGAAGAGTTCTTCAATGGAAGCTCTAAGGATCTCTACAATATCTATATCCATGCGGATCCGACCCGAGATTACGACCCGCCTTTCTCCGGCGTGTTCGCGAACCGGGTCATACACTCGAAACTTTCGAATCGATACACTCCCACTCTCGCCTCGGCGGCGCGTCGACTAATCGCACACGCGCTTCTCGACGATCAGCGAAATTACATGTTTGCCCTTTTCTCGCCGTCGTGCGTACCGATTCGCTCCTTTGACTTCACCTACAATACACTGATCTCTTCTCGTAAAAGCTTCATCGAGATACTCAAAGACGAGCCGTGGCAGTTCGATAGATGGGCGGCGCGTGGGATGGAAGCGATGTTACCGGAGGTGAGGCTGGAGGATTTTCGGATCGGGTCGCAGTTCTGGGTTTTGAAACGGAGACACGCGCGTGTGGTGGCGCGTGATCGGAGGATTTGGGTGAAGTTTAATCAGACGTGCGTGCGTGAAGACACGTGTTATCCTGAAGAAAATTACTTTCCGACCCTTTTAAATATGCGGGACCCACGTGGGTGTGTACCAGCCACGCTTACTCACGTGGACTGGACCATCAACGACGGTGGTCACCCGAGGATGTACGAGCCAGAGGAAGTGGTTCCTGACCTGATCGTGCGGTTGAGGAAGACGAGGCCGAGATACGGTGAAGATGGAATCAACGGTTCGGATTGGTCCGCGATCGAGCGGAACGATCCGTTTTTGTTCGCGAGGAAGTTCTCGTCGGAGGCGCTCGAGCCGTTGTTGGGTATGGCTAGAAACGTGTTGTTTAATGACTCGGCCGGTGGTGCGTGAAATGGTTCGCTGATGGCATTGTTGTAAATTTAGTTTTAGTTTTTTAGTTTTTTAAACTTGAGAGAAAAATAATTGTAATTTAAAAATGGGTAGCTGGGAAAAACAAAAACCCAAGTCTACCATTATCCTTGAAGCCAAAGTGAGTCAATCTCAATCTTATAAATTAGCAAAATCGACAAACGCATGAAAACTTACACTAGATATGAAGAAAATTAAATGGCGAATCTTTTGTTTCAAAAGATATATTTAATGGACAGTGAAACTGATGATTTAGTATTTTTCTCTTAACGGTTTTTCTTTTCAGTGTGTTTTGATAAACCAAATAGCCATTAAAGTGTAAACCACTCTGCTCAAGAGTGGATTTGAACTACTAAACCAGGACTCATTTGGTGTGTTTTGACTATTACAATAGGGTTTCTATAAATGTATAGTTAAAAATGTATACACACTGTGGTTAGAGAGAAACTAGGAAAATGAAATGGATAATATATATAGAATTAAGTTATTCTTAACATAACAAAGTTAATAGGTTGACAAGAAAATTTTATTGTATAATTAAATTGATTAGTACTTATTAAAACTTGTTATCTAAAGATCTAAAAATGGGGTCTAATAATAAGTTTGCGGGAGATGGGGCTTAGATTCGTCAATACTCGAGTTTAGTGTCGCTTAAAGAAGACACATCCACAATCATCGTATTGCCCCGTGCTTTCTTCCTTTTACTTTTCTCAAAAAATAATAATAATGTTAATATCTACAAGCCATGAATCGCGTGACAGTCAATTAAAGAATATAGATTGTTAGTGAAACTTTGTATATTTGGTGATTTTCTTTCTGTTATATATATATATGACTCTTCCATAGTCTCTGTTGAGAAATCGCCTACATAATCAGTTTATTTCAATCACTCTTAACAATTTTCTAATCTTTTAATGGTGCATATCCTTTATTAGCTTCCTCTGTTTTATGGTAATGAAGCAATCTATGATCAGAACATAAGAATGGAGAAAATCATGTGATCATACCAAAACTTATATTTATGAATGGTGATGTCATTTTGTTGGTATAGTAGGTTTACTTGCTGGTTTGTTTTTGATTTTCAGATTTTTTTTTTTGGTTTCACCATCGAAGGAAAACTGAACATGAAAGTCTGTTCATAGCCTATTTGATTACTAGAGAACCTCTCAGAAAGCGACAAAAAGGTTTAATCACCTGATAATTAAACAACGTAGACTACCAACCGATACTAGAAATAATAATTACTTCTACTAATCGCTAGCTTCGCACAACTAAAACCAAACGGGCAAACCTAACCACAACCCAAGTTGATAGAAATAATAACAAGAAAACAACAAAGACAATCTCATGAGAATCAAAAAGGTATAAATATTTCAGAAAAAATAGGTTTAATAAATGACTTTTTTATTAATCAAACTCAAAAGAGGCAAATTCTCACAAGTTTAAGATCGGAAAGAATACAAGAAGAAACCGGATTATAACACAAGAAATATATAAGACATCATCTATATATTGGTCGAAAAAG